TGGAGTGCCCGAGGCACCTGCTGCTCTCCTGTCATCCGGGAGGGAAACCGGGGGAGTCTGCAGACGGCCCCCGTTAGCGAGGGTCCCCCCGTAGCGAGGCTCTGGGACCTTCCTGAGGCTGGCGTGGGCCGGGGCCGGCGTGGGCACCCGTGGCTGGTGTTTTTTTTTGGGGTGGTGGTGCCGGTGTGATGCTGTGGTGCGTGGTGGTTTTTTCCAGGCTACATCCCGTGAGGCTTTTTGCAGTAATTGACTGTGAATAACAAGTCGGTTTCCACGAGGCTAACTCTGTGTGAGAAGCGTTTGTCAAAATTAAACTGCGTTCTGTTCCAGGAGGCTCAGGTCTGGTGCGTTGCTTCCAACCAGTGATGATTGTGCACCTTTGGGGAAAGAGTGTGTTAATCTCATTTATTGAACAGCTGTGGTGGCTTTCACGTGGCATCTGATGACCCAAAAATGATTTGCAAAGATGGGACAAAATATTTATCTCTTGCACACAGGTGGAGAAGCTGACTTGCAGAGATGGTATTTCAAACTCCACCCTCCTCCTTTCTTCCTGATCACCTGTTACTGACACACATTAGTGTTGAAGTTGGGACTGAGCCTAAGACTTTGAATTCCCATTTCAACTGCAATTTTGCTAGACCACAGCTGTGCTTTTTTTTTGGGTCCATTTCAGATAGCTACATCCGTAAATGAAACTAGTTTATTTTAACATGGTGTCTTATTTGAAACATCATCTGCTGCAGGTTCAGCTTGCTGTCTCCATCAGGTCTCATTTACCTGTTGCAATTCTCATCAGGGAGTTTATTTGCTGCTCACTTTCTTTAACAACTCCCCTGACTTCCCCCCTTTTTTGTGATTCAATAACAAAAGTTCTTCCTGGAGCTGCAGTAATCTGTTGGATCTGCAGGAATTAAGGAATAACATTCCTATTAACTTCTTCAGAAACAACCTGTGTGGAGCTATTTCGGTATTTTCAAATGAAAGGGAAAAATGCAGTGTGTGCGTGTATATGTCATGGTGTGCCTTCAAGGTATACCCAGTGTTGATATATTTTAAACCTGTATGGCAGCATCTTAAGAATAATTTGTGCTGTCCCTTTTTTCAATTTTACCCTTGCCACAATTTTAGTAATAATAATGTAGGATTCTTTTTTTATATCCTCCTAAGAACCATCACACTCACAGAAATGGTCTTCTAAAAGACTGGTCAGGTCCTTTTAAAATAAAATGAAAGCTAGTTAGTGCATTATATGAAATCTAAGAATCTGAGTGGTGGGTTTTTTTTTCCTCCTAAGGTCAGGTTTTTTCCCCTCTTCTCTGTTAAAGCATTGAATAACAAATTACAGAGTTCTGTGCTATTTTTATGAGTAGTTGTTCAGTTGTTCAGATATTCTCCTCTACTAAGTTACGACCAAGTCTGCCTACACAGGTGACTTTGTAGGCTGTTGTAGTGCTTATCTAACCTCACAAGAACAGGACTGTCCTTGGGAACAGGCACTAGAAATGAAGGCACAGGTCTCCAGCTAAGCACGGTCCTGGCAGGCTCTGTGCTCATAGTCTGCAGGCAACCCATCTTCAGCCCTGTAGACCCACCGAGTGTCTGAGCTGTATGGCACTGGACTGGGGAGGTGACATCGCCTTCTGTCTTGTCCACACAGCTGTGGCTGCAATGGCGTGGTCTCTTCTGTGCTTTCCTGGGCTGGTGTGGCCACTCAGTCTCTCCTGGGTAGGCAGTCCATGCATGGTGTTGGGGATGGAGACGGTAGTGCGGTGTGGAGGCATAACCTGCTCCCACCTTGTGGGGCTTCAGCCTGGGGGTAAAGCTCATCCCTGCAGCAGGCTACACGACCATGTCTCCATCTGCCTTCAGGCCCAAAGCAGTGGTGCACGTTAGGTGACATGGTTGAGGAGCCTGACCACACTTGCATGCACCAAGGAGCACAGAGGCACATCAGTGGGTGGGGAACCAGGGTGATTCCCTGACCCGGATACTCCCAGCAGCCAACTCCTGAAGGCTTATCTCCACACACACGCACCCAAAGGAGCACAGAGAGAGACTGGCGGGCAGGGGAGCCCCAATAACCTGCTTGGAGAAAGGGGCCCCAGCCCTTCCCAGAGCTGTCTGGGGGCCAGGGATGACACCCATCTGCATATGTCAGTGGGA